GAAAACGCACGGAATACTTGCGGAATGCGCTATTAGGACGCAAGCTTAACGACAGGTATATATATGCGCGTATAACACATTAGCAAGGTTAATTAGAGAAACGCTAATATCACATTCATATGTTATCATATCCCTGTTCTCCCTCTCGGTTGAACGTTGCTGCCGTTCCTTCTCATTTATACGCAGCGCGTCGACCGGCATCGCAGTTGCGCGTTAGGAGTGAGTTAAGCGTTTAAATGCTTAATTACCGCATTAGTAGTAAGCCGCGGTTCCGCTGGATCTTTAATCGTGGTTCATCGGAGCGTGAATTACTTTTGTTACGCGCCCGGAATAATTGAAGCGTTTACGGGTGGCGGCCTCTTGTTTGCGATACAATAGCGGCCGGAGAACGTCTAAGTCCAGCGTGAGCACAATAACAAGCTCTCGCGTGCTATAATACGCGTGATAAATGCGCGCGTTTCACGGCGTCGGTTCCGACAATTAATTACGCGTACCTATAGTGACGAATCGCCGTTACGCCAACGTACCGACGGATTAAACTACCAGGAGTTACGCCGCCGCCGCCATCGTCATCACCGTCGCCGCCGCCGCCGAGCCGGCTGTTGGATCCGCGTGAATTCCACACGTGAAATACCGCGAGTCGTATTTGCGAGAACACCGTCATACGTTTCTAAGCGTTACAGCGCCGACGAGAATAAATTTTGCATTAATGGTAGAAGACTACGTCGTACGGGAGATAGTAGGTTTTGTACGGGACGGCATTAGGTTCATCTCCTGATATAACAGAGTCCCCGCGAGTTTTCTCCCCTCGCGGCAAGACAAATTCAAAAATGTCGTTAATTTTTTAAGACCCAGACATCGACCTCCTATCCGAGTAAAACCTTTTCTCTTAGATTATTAAGAATAATCTTAGAAGACGCTCCTGATGAAGAATTTGGTGGCCCGAATTAAATTGACCGTTGAGAAAAACACAATTTTCTGAATGTATACTTCAGGAGCTTGGAATACTCAGTGTGGTATTTTATTAAAGGCGTATCAAGGAAACTATTCATGAACTTGCTATTTATCGAATAAAATGGTTACATTTATTTCACTATCTAAATAATAAGTAGTAATTTAAGGCAAAGTTGAGATAAATGTACATATATACACAATATCACAAATACGAAAAATAGTGTTTATCCTTTAATATTTTTTATTAATTTCATTTGTGCATTAGTTGATCTAACAAAGATGCGTAGATAATAGAAAGAAGTGTATGAGTATTTATGCATATATATTTCAATTATATATTATATTATATTAGTTTCTTATATTAGTCTTTAATATCATAGAGTAGTTTTATAGTAAAACTCTGATTTTAGAAAGAGTTTAAAATAAATTAACAATAGAAATGAAAAATATAGTATGCTATTTAAATGTTCAACATAATAGTGCTCTCATTATAAAGTCCGATGAACTGTATATTCTCACAGTCTAGTACGCATATGCGATTGCACCAGGACGCCGATAGAGAGATCCGGCAAACTGCGCGATTCTATTGCGGATCGCGGACTCGTTTGAACATTGTTCGCAAGTAAGTCCGCTATATGCCTTTATTCGACGCCTCTAATACTACCATATAAGGTATCTTGCTTGACCATCGTAACACTTAGGGGGACAGTGAGAAAGAGAGAAAAGGGATCGACTAGAACGAGATCACGGGTAAAAAGTTTTAATTTTAGTTTCAAATATCTCGGAAAAGATACATTAAACATTATTGAATTTTTTGTTGTTAATTTGATTTACTTTTGTATCATGCACATATTGCAAGTTTATCTTTCTTTTGGTCAAACGAATCTTTTTAATTATATGGTTTATGCTTGCACGCGTGCATCAGCTACAACGAATTTAATAAGTCTTATTATTGTAATTTACTATTGTAATTAGAGATGAGTCGAAATTTGATTTTTAAGTCCTCGACTCAAACTTTATGAGACCTCGAAACTCTCGGAACTTAAAACTATCCAAATCTGAGATACTAATTAAAAAAAGAGAATTGTGCATAAAATAGACTCCGGTATAATTACACTTTTCACTAAAAAACAATTTTTCAACTCTTGAAACTATATAATATATACTATATATACTTAATTATTACTAATTAAATACTAACTTAATTATTTTTTATTAAATTTTATCTCTAGTTTTATATCTAGTTTCATAACAAATTTCATTCTTTTGGCCGCCATTTTGAATTTCCATATTTTAACCTAGTCTTTTTCAATCAAAGATTCTAAGAACTATCACCAATGCTCCGTGGTTTGTCACCAACGAAGTGATGCACAGAGATCTTCACATGTACACAGTGAGAGAAGAAATACATAACTTTAGTAAAAAATATCACGCAAAACTAGACATTCATTCTAATAAACTAGCAAAGAATCTCCTCGCAAAAAATGAACAGACGAAAAGACTAAAAAGATTCAAACCTATAGACCTTACCCTTGATTTAAGTGTTAAATAATATCTATGCTAACACAAATAATTCTACAAATAATTAAGTTAAAAGCAGAAGGTAGGCAGCCAGTGAGTAACTTCCTCGTTGTTCTAATCGAGCCAAAAAAATTTACTTATTATTCTAGAATAGATTGTAAATAAAGCATAGGAGATAAAAAAAATATTCTGACCTTAAATTCGTAGTTAGTGACCCGAAAAACATTTTGATTCCGACTTTTATACAAATCAAGCATCATTTGTATTTTACCCTTTTTGGTTAGTTGATACTATTTTTTGCTGCCAATGAAATAAAATAAATAAATAGTTGATACTATTATTTGCTGCCAATGAAGTGAAATAAAGAGTGAAATGAAATGTGAAAAGTGAAATGAAGTGAATTAAAGAGTTAAAGGAGCGAGGGACTGAATACGCGTGCGTTTTTATATGCGTATCTTACATTATTCAAGTTCAATCGAATTCCGAACTTGAGTTACTCCACTTTCAGAATTAGCGTGGGATACGATATCTACATTGTATTTTTCCGCGGAATATCGTGAGACGTCTCCGCGGAGCAGATATATCCGTGTCGTTTTGTGCTCTCAATTCCACGATTAGAAATACCGATTACTTTGGAAACAGCAGCCAGAATAAACGTCTGGCTTGACCTCGCTATGACACAGTGCGACCGTCCTGAATTGTATCTCGCGGCGCGGCATCGGCGGACGGCTTAATCGTCACGTGGGGCGACGACAATTGTCGCCGGATGCACCGGCTACATTCCCAAGCTAAACGTTTCCTCGACCGCGAACTCCGTTTTCTCCGTCGACGATTCCACCGAACGTAGTACGACGGACACAATTCCCTCACGGTCCGCCTGTCCGGCGCAAAACGTCTGAAGTCCGGCGTACTCGAATTCGCCGGCGGTCCTCTCGCTCCACCGGCACGCCACGTGCATTGTGCACCGCGGCGCGGTGCAGCCCTTGCGCGTCATTTTCTAAAAGGACGTCCATCGGTCAGCATTGTCCCCGGGGTTGCGGTTAATCCGGTCCGTTGGCCGCGGTCGCGGTCGTGGTCGTTGCGAGAGCGGTCGCGGATGCGTAGCGCGAGAGAGGAGGAGGAGGAAGAAGAAGAGGAGGAGAACGACGACGACGAAGAGGATGAGGACGGGGGCGAGGAGAAAGAGGAGGAGGTAGTGGCGGTGGAGGTGAGTCGGTTGGCAGCGGGGCCGGAGGGGCCGTGAGGACGAGGAGGCAGAGGATGAGGCGGAGGTGGAGAAGGAGGACTAGGAGAACGGGCGAGCGCAAGCGCCTGTCCGATCGATGCCCGTCTCCCGCGTATAAAGCTCTCGTCCTCGGGGGCGCGCGACAGTTGGCGTTCCGCATCCGGAACATGCGTCGTGCCGCGTGCCGATCGCGTCGGGAACGTTTCATCGCCGCCGTTACTGTCGTCGTCGTCGTCGTCCTCGTAATCGACGCGAGCTACATCAACAACGGTAACCGTCGCCGCGAGTACGACCGAGCTCCGACCGAACTTCAGCCGGTCCCGAGGATTGCGAGGAAGCTGTGGCTCCTTCTCTCTCTCCATAGATCGTCCGGCTGCTGCAGGACACTCGTGGAAGTGCGAGAACTCCCCTAGCCTGTGACCGACAAGGACGAGGCGACGAGTGCAACTCGTCGGGTCGGCGACGTCGCTTCGTCACCCGAGAAGCGAGCACGTCTTGTACCTTGAAGTCTTCCTCCTGTTCTCGCTCGCGGAACGGAGCATTAAGAGAGAGACAGAGAGAGAGAGAGAGAGAGAGAGAGAGAGAGAGAGAGAGAGAGAGAGAGAGAGCAAGAGAGAGAGAGAG